TCCCAAAGTTGAACTCTCTATTCCCCATTGATGAAAAAAAAACCTTCATTTCTTGTGATAACTTCGCTCATTCACCACATGCATAGCATTTAGGGGTGAAAATTTAGGAGACATGGTAGCACAACTTAGAAACGACAAGAAATAATTAGTCTCATTCACCACATGCATAGCACGTATGGTATAATATCGGACATGAAATAATTATTTTTACTGAACCACATAAGTTTTATTTGAACTATTTTCTAGGGGATTCCCTGTTTTCATGTTTGAAAAGCCCTGCAGAACCCCTGAATTAGGGTTCCTAATTAGATCCCACATTCAAAGTTTTAATTTGGACACCTGGGTTGAATGGTTCCCCTGTTTATCCCAAGTCCTGTTTGTTCCTGAATTCCAATGTAATTTTTAGGGACGTATCGCTTTAGCTTTGTTGCTTTTCTGGTGCAGGCCTTCTGTAAAAGTTCTTGGTTCCGCAATTGCTCATGGCTAGCTGCAGTCTCAACTTAGTTTGGTCGCTGATAAGCTTTTCATGCACCATGTGGAGTGCATGTTATGCTGCAAACAGGGACACGCTGAAACCAGGAGACACTCTCAATTCCTCAGATACCTTAGTTTCTGCCATGGGGAAGTTCACTTTGAGTTTCACTGCATTAGATAAGGGCAAACCGAACTACAGCTACCTAGTTCTTCAGCCGTCTGAAGATATTATACCATTTTATTCCTGGATCTGGATTGCCAACCGGAACACACCAATTATGTACCCTACGGGAGCTCTTACCTTGGACAGGAATGGAACACTGAAAATTACGCAAAAAGGTCGTGATCCTATAGAGCTTTTCTCAGCGCCACGAACTACCAATATTAACAGTACTACTAGTGTTGTGGTGGCTACTCTGTTGGATACTGGAAACTTTATCCTAAAAGAACTGAGCTCTATCGATGGATCAACGAAGCAAGTTTTGTGGCAAAGTTTTGATTATCTTGCAGACACGTTTTTACCAGGCATGAAATTAGGTGTGAACTACAGAAATGGTCACATTTGGTTGCTTACATCATCGTTGATTGATTCCAGCCCAGAGACAGGAGCATTCACCTTTGAATGGGACCCCAAAGGACACCAATTGCAAATCAAACAATACGGGGTGCTTTATTGGAGTAGCGGCGCATTTAGAGATGGGACATTTGAATTTCTATCACCTTATTATGGTGAGCAGAGGGTTTGTATCTTTAGCGTAGTTTCAAATGAGAACGAAGACTACTTCACTTACACTAACACTGTAAATAATAGTGGTGACGAATGGTTGCGACTAGACTCAGAGGGGAAACTAAGGCGAACACTGACGGACATCCTAGAGAAGTACTCTGTATCACAATATATATATAGTGGACTCTGTGATGGAAATAACACTGAAGGAGGGTGCCAGAAAAGGCACCAGCCAACTTGTAGGTATCTTGGTGATAGATTTGAGAAAAAAGTGGGTTTTTTCAGTCCAATAATTGAGTCCTCTGAACCAACCATTGATTCAAATACAAGCCTCGGCATTAGTGATTGTCAGGCGGCTTGTTGGGAAAATTGTGACTGTGTTGGGTTCTACTTTAATTTTGATAATGAGACTGGATGCAGATTTTGGACTGGAAAATCGGAGTTCAATGAAGACACTACTGGCAATACCACAACGAATTACTTTGTTTTAACAAAGTCATCTCGCAAAAAAGAAACACCAAAGTCGTCTCCCCCTCTGATCAACGAAAAAGAAAAAATAAAGTCATCTCGCCGTAACGGTAAGTCTACTAAGATATATAGGATCATTTCACAAGTGTAACGAGAATAAATTTCAGGCATATGTACATAAGTATATATATACATGTCTACAATGAATATTGAAGAATTATCTCTTCACATTTGTAAAACTATGTGCAGCACGTAAGTGGATATTGATTGGAACGGCTATTGCCGCTGCTCTATTGGTAATGGTGCTTTGCATCTCGAGCTATCTACTAAGGAGGAAACTATTTTCAGGTAGACTATTTAAACATCTATGAAGGCTTTGGAAATTGTAAATTTTAATTTTCTTACAACATTAATCTAAACAGGGGAGGCCAACCCGATGATTGAGAATGAATTGGTTGAATGGATGGAATCTGATAGATCCACTGGCAATGTCAAGGGGCTTCAAAATGATGGAAAGTTGGGAAATAATTTGACAGTATTTAGCTACGCATCTGTCATGGCTGCCACAACTAACTTTTCGGAAGAAAACAAGCTCGGACAGGGGGGCTTTGGACCTGTTTATAAGGTAATTAAGGTTTTAAATAAAAATGAGTGTCTTCGTATTAATAACTGAAAAATATAAACCTGATTACTTAGTGCTATATTATGGATTATTAACGAAGGGAAAACTTTTGACGGGACAAGAAATCGCTGTGAAGAGGCTTTCAAGATGTTCAGGGCAAGGAACTTCGGAGTTTAAGAATGAATTGATACTCATATCTGAACTCCAACATACAAACCTCGTTCAACTTTTTGGCTTCTGCATTCATGGGGAAGAGAGGATATTAATCTATGCCTACATGCCAAACAAAAGTTTGGACTACTTTTTATTCGGTCGGCAATTAAGATTCTCGATCACTTTAATCTTAGTTACTTGATTTCTTCTATTCGAATAATCTTACATTTCCAGCTATTTTCATGGATATATTTGGACAGATTCAACCAGAGCGATGCTACTAGATTGGACGAAGCGGTTCAACATAATTGAAGGAATCGCTCAAGGACTGCTTTACTTGCATAAATACTCAAGAATGAGAGTAATTCACAGAGATTTAAAAGCTAGTAACATACTACTTGATGAATATATGAAGCCCAAAATTTCTGATTTTGGTTTGGCAAGAATTTTTACACATAATGAACTTGAAGCAAGTACTAATAGGGTTGTTGGAACATAGTAAGTAGATCATACATTATAAATTATTATGCCTTTCACCACTTTGACATTGCTGTACTTACATACATATACTAAATATATTTGGTTTTTATATGATATAGTGGTTACATGTCTCCCGAGTACGCTATGGAGGGGACTTTTTCGATAAAATCTGACGTCTATAGTTTCGGGGTGTTAATGCTTGAAATCATTAGTGGTAGGAGAAATAGTAGCTTCTACAATGCTGATCGCGTGCTCAATATAGTAGGATATGTATGTCTTACAAATCAAATTTACGATTAACATTTTCTTTTTTGGGTTGTGAATATATATATCATGAATCTTTCAACAACTTAATTAAATGAGACTAGTGCAATATTTTTTCAGGCATGGGAGTTATGGAAAGAAGGGAGGGGGCTAGAGCTAATGGATCCAACACTAAAGGATTCATGTATTGAAGATCAATTGTTAAGATGCTTCCATGTTGGTCTGTTATGCGTGGAAGAAAATGCAGATGATCGGCCCTCCATGTCTGACGTCGTATCTATGTTGACCACTGAAACAATTTCATTGCCATTACCTACAATGCCAGCATTCATCACAAGAAGAAATGTTATTGTGTCTGATATAAGTAGAAGGGAGTTGCAAATTATATCAGTAAATGGCTTGTCTAATACCACAGTTGCTGGACGATAGAGGATTCGTCTATTAGCTAAACGATATCTTTGAGCCATAATTACAATGACCTACATTTTGGAACATTGCTAGAGGCGGCGCCCAAAGCTGAGAGGGGAACACAAATTTTGCTTATAGTCCATATATGTATATTTATATGTTGTGGTGTCATTTCTGATATGTTGTGGTGTCATAAATCATTTTTGATTCTCTCAAGGAAACTTCCTTATTTGGAAAACAAAGTCAAATATATTTTATATCTATATATATAAAGCAAAAGGCAGAGAATGGTGAAACATTCAAAATACCAGAAAATACCCTTGGTTAATACAAACATTAAGAATTGAAATTATTAATTAAATAAAGATAATATGGTAAATTCACACTTTTTCATTAAGATTCAAAAACTTGTTTGGTATGCAACTAAAAAACTATTTTTAAATCTTTAAAAATTGAGAACTTGTGGGTTGTTAAAAAAAACTGAAAAAACAAATATTTTTTGTTTTTAATAATTGGGGTGTTTTTTTATAGTTGTTCTTGAGTTTGAGTTTTTAAAAATAGGACTACCAAACAAGTTTTCTTTGTTTTGGACTCAAATTCTATCTTTGAGTTTAAAAAGTTGGATTCAAGTTGAATACCAAATAGGCCCTTATGTTGTTCTCATTTTATCTCTTTTATTGCCACCTGCTTTTAGTGTTTCTTTTCCCCCACAAAAACCAAAATTTCAACACGTGATAATCATGTGGTGAATCAGAATCAAACGGGATTTGAATAGAATTTTCCTCTCTTCCTCTTTGTATAACTTATATACTTTTGTTTCTGTTTTGCCGGCTAAACTTTTGTATAACATATTTAAAAAAGCACTGGAACTCACAATGAGTACTTTGTTTAATTCACACGTGATGATATGCTCGAAGCTTTCAGGTGATGCTTCTGTGAATGTCCAAATTTTCTTTAAAGAGTATGTTATTAACAAGGCATGCCCTAGTTTCAATCGTCATGTTACTACAAGTAGTGACCTGTTATCATAAAAACATTAATAAATAAATAAGAAAATTTTCATTATCTCTATATATATAAAGCAAAAGGCAGAGAATGGTGAAACATTCAAAATACTAGAAAATGCCCTTGGTTAATGCAAATATTAAGAATTGAAATTATTAATTAAATGAGGATAATATGGTAAATTCACACTTCTATATATATAAAGCAAATGGCAAAGAATGGTGAAACATTCAAAATACCAGAAAATGCCCTTGGTTAATGCAAACATTAAAAATTGAAATTATTAATTAAATGAGGATAATATGGCAAATTCACACTTTTCATATTAAAAAAATTAAAATTAAAAGAAAATTCAGATAATGGATCCTATTTTTATGGAACACAACTACCCATTCTCTTTTTTAATTCTAAAATAAATT